GATGCTCCTGTATTCTTATCTTGAACCTTTTTTTTTAGTTTGAAATTGGTCAGGAAGACAATATTCATGCTTTTCCTCTATCATCATTTCAATCACCACAGCATTTATATAAGCATGCAATTTTATTTTCTCCAAATGTAAAGCTCTCACTTTTATTCCTTTAATTCTTTAATTCTTTTTATTCATTTCTATTTCTTTTTTTTCCTTTCACACTTTCATTCTTTTCTTGGGTCTCAATATAATAATTCTTACTTTGATTATTTCTAAAATCTACTAGAGTGTTTCTTTGATATCACATGATCATGTAATTAAGATATTTTTTTTATTTTGTTCTATTTATTCTTATTTCTTTGTACTTTGAATATTACGATGCGCTTGTATTCTTATCTTGAGCCTTTTTTTTTTTAGTTTAAATTGGCCAGGAAGAAAATATTTATACATTGTTGTTTCAATTACTGTAGCCTTTACATAATTATGTGATTTCATTTCCTCCTAATGTAAAGCTCTTATTTTATTTCTTAGTTTTTTAATTCTTTCTATTTATTTCTATTTCTTTTTTTTTCCTCCTACACTTTCTTTTTTTTGGTCTCAATATAATAATTCTTACCTTGATTATTTCTGAAATCTACTAGCATGTTTCTTTGGTATCATAATCACGTAATTAAGATAATTTTTTTATACCCAATCTGTATTTCTTTCATATTTTGAATATTAATTGCATCATTGTGATTTTTACCTTGAGCTTTCTTTTAGTATGAAATCAGTCAAGCCAAGTTTCATGCTTTTTCTTCATTGTCACAGTTATTCCATAACAATATAAATTCACTTTTTTATTTTCTTGTTGCCTGGAGTTTTGTAATACAATACAATACTCACTCTCAAATTTTTTTTATTTATTTTGAATTGATTAGAAAGATGAAATTCAGAATTCTTCACTATTACAAGACCATGTAATTTTTGACCCAGTTAAAAGTAAAAATTTAATTAGTACATTTATTGTTACTGGATATTTAACAACTAATTTTTTGGAAAACTCTTCCTGTAGATTACTCTACCAAAACAAGAACAAGAAAAAAAAATTTTTCTGCGATAATATCTCGTAAACTTACTAAGTAAATTGATATCCGGCTCTTAAGTAAAGTTATCCAGCACCCCGAATAGTACCTAAAGGAGGTG